TCGAAGAGAATGTCAAACATGTTTTGTACCCTCGAATCTGTGGAAAATGTAGTTTTCAGCTGTGGGGAGAAAAAATGATAAAGAAAAATGACTATAAATGATCATATCATCTAAGCTCCTGCTGTGTAGACTACATTTTATATTGTTTGGTGATATGGCCATGAACAGTCATGAAAATTACTTCAGTGTTTAGCCTGCTGATTACTTGTGTGTTAGAGTTTAATGGATACTTATTGCAGTTAGATAAGTAGTATATGTAGTTTTCTACTGCCCTGTATGGTGCTCTGTGTGCAGTTGTATCTGCCTAATGCTGACCTTGGACTGGATTTCTGCTCCCAGTCTGCGGAGTGTCTCCAGGAAGGCTTTGTTCTTTGGCTCGAGCGTGGCACACCTCTGCACATCTTTGAAAGCCATATCCAGTTTTCCCAGCTTTTCCAGAGCTTGGCAGCGCCGGTACAAAGCTTTTATGTCTTTTGCATCAACATCAATCGCTATGGATGAGGGCAAATTGTTTAAGTTAATGACTAGCTTTCATCTATGGATTTTTGTTCTGCTGTTGACTGAATATTTACAGCTGTTCAAAGTTCTTAACGTATTACTCTACCTTTAGTTGCATCAGATGCTGCATTAACATAGTTTTCCTATAAGAAAAAACAGAGACAATCACAGACAGTTTGTCAGAGAACCTGCAAGCATAATCAGTTTGATATAGTTTTGGTCCCATATCAGAGTGCTTACCTTTTTTAGGTAGCATGCAGATCTGTTCCTGTAAATCACAGCCAGCACCTTTTTGTCCTGGCACACCTTGATGGCTTTAGTGTAGCACTCAATGGCCTTGTCAATATCGCCTGCCTGAAAGTGTTTGTTTCCCTCCTCTTTTAACTGGATTGGGTCTCCCATCTGACAAAAAATTGGAATATATATATATATATTTATGTATATGTGAAATGTAAAATCAAACCTGTGTGTTGTTTTATTGTGCTCACCAGGCAAAGCTTACTTTAACAAATTCTGCCAATCAAATTTAAATTAAGCTTTTTACTTTTTCTCTGGATAAAAAACAAATACGTCAAATAAGCTGAACATATAATGATCGTGGCTGACTCTTTTTCTCTCTTTAAATTGTGTTAGAAAAGCAGTGTGCAAGCAGTTCAAAGTTATAAAGACACACCATTCAAACAAACGACAGAGTGGTAAT